GGCGCCGGGGCAAATCCTAGCCGTACTTGGCCCCTCCGGCAGCGGCAAATCTACTCTACTAAATGCACTCGCCGGCCGCCTTCATCATGGTCACGGCCTCTCTGGAAAAGTTCTTGCTAACGACAGGAAATTAACCAAACCGGTCCTGAAAAAAACCGGCTTTGTTTCACAAGACGATGTTCTCTTCCCCCACTTGACAGTCCGAGAAACTCTCATCTTTTGTTCACTTTTAAGGTTGCCAAATTCTATGTCCAAAAAAGACAAAATCTCCACTGCAGAATCTGTTATACGAGAATTGGGTTTGGTTAAATGCGAAACTACAATTGTCGGCAACAGTTTGATACGAGGAATCTCCGGTGGAGAAAGAAAGAGAGTTAGCATAGCACATGAAATGCTGGTGAATCCAAGTTTATTGATTCTAGACGAACCCACATCGGGATTGGACTCGACGGCGGCGTTCCGGCTGGTGGAGACGCTGGCGGCGATGGTAGCGGGGAAAGGGAAGACGGTGGTGACGTCTGTGCATCAGCCGTCGAGCCGGGTTTATCAGATGTTTGATCTGGTACTGGTTTTGTCTGAAGGGAGATGTATTTACTTTGGTAAAGGGAATGAGGCAATGAACTATTTTGGGTCAGTTGGGTTTTCGCCGTCCTTTGCCATGAATCCAGCTGATTTTCTGCTTGATCTCGCTAATGGTACGCAATCTTTGTCTCTATACATGTATACATTCGTTATCGTGTCATGTCGAGTCAAAACTGTCAAGTTAATTATTGTTTTAGGCATGACGGTAGCTCGACATACCTAAAATATTATGTACTCATGTCAGCTAGACTTGAACTAGATCTGTAGGTTCGAGTGAGGCTCACGAGCTTTAATTTTAACAATAATATTTAGTGATTTTAATGCATCTTTAGGTTTTTAATAACATATCCACTCTCGTGTGGGCGATTAGCCCGTGTAGTCGAGCTAGTGCAACCCTATTACAGAACCAGTTATCTTACATATCTTGACACCCGTATGCACAATGCATGTGTCTAGTTGTCATCATCTTACCTCAAGTTTAGATTGTAGATTCTTTCTCATATTCCAGGAAATTAAACATGATTGGTTAATAGAGTATACAAGAAAGACATAATGAAAAATGTTATTTGTACATCGAGATTGACACTCCGGTGTACACTCCCTTCACATGAGA